AAAGTCAAACCACTAGGAATCAAGGGGTATTTGGTGAGTAAAGGCGGAGGCTCCCCCTCAATCAATAAATCTTTTCCCTTTTTTTTCTTTCTTTTTTTTTCACATATTTTTTCTTTCTTTTGCATATTTTGTCTTCTTCTCTTTCTTTTGCTTTTGCTTTTTCTTTTTCTGTTTCTTTTTCTTTTGCACAATCATTGGTGGCTGACACGCTCAAGAGTATGGAAACCGAACCAGAGAAGCATGGATATAATAATGATGGCCTGGTTGGTGACTCTGAGGTAGCCTTTTCCTCATGGCTAGACAAAGAATTAAGGGGAAAGCCATGGAGATGCAAAAGGATGGTAGGTGGTTAAGAGACTCAACATCACCCAAGATATGCTAGCGTAGGTCAATTCCTCTAGAAAGCAAAAGATACAATGCCGGAAGTCTATAAAAAAATAATCACTAAGGCGGAAGACTCTAAAATTTGCTAATCCAAGAGTGTGTATAGAATGAGACATACTAATCAAAAAACACACACACCAGAATGAGTAATGACCACAGATAGCACACATATATTAACATGTAATGGATATTCTCATCAAATCCAATATGCACCAAGGACCACTCAAAACTTTCAAGCTTGCAAAACCATACTAAGAAAATCTTTTGGTTTTTTGGGTTTTTTGGGTTTTTTTTTTTTTTTTTTTTTTTTTTTTTTTTTTTTTTTTTCAAAAATAAAGCAAGACAAAAAAAATGAACAAGTACACATTTTTTTTTCCATTAAAAACAAGACACAAAAAAAACCCAAAAGCTTGCATCAAGGACCACTCAAAAATTTTAAGCTTGCAAAACCATACTCAAAAAATCTTTTTGGTTTTTTTTTTTTTTTTCTTTTTCTTTTTCTAAACAAAGCAAAACAGAAAACGAACATGCATACATTAAGGGACTCAAAAAGAAAAAAAACACACAGAAACCTAAAAACTAAAAAGAATATACAAATTAACACAAGTTAAGTTTTCGCACCGAAACCGCTTTAGTATGAAGAAAGTTGTGAGAATTGCGATTCTTGGATGGTGTCTTGACGTTGTGGTTCCCTTTGCGTTCAATGGGAACCCGTCTAGACTTGGTGTCCAACTTCCTACTCCTAATGAAGTGTCTCCTACCCCATGAGATGTTGGAATTTCTTCCATCTTTATAAGACACTCTCCCATGCAACTAATAACAATAAGGGCGAATATGACCATGCATACCACAATGATGACAAATAAAAACAGGGTATACAGGGTGTACCTTCTTATCTTTTACCTTACCAACTCTATGAAGTTTTAGAAGTCCATCCTTATGTTGAATTTTTGGTACTCCCTTTCCTTGAGTTCTTGTATCATGAGATGTAAATGCACTCTATTTTTGCTCTTTATGATCACCAAAGCCAATGCCACTCTTGTCACAACACATTTGTTGAGACCCAATGATATCCTCCAAGGTCTTTGATCCTTTGTTCCAAGGACCAATGGTAGCCATAGCACACTTGAGCTCTTCCTCTTTCTTGATCATTAGTTCTTCCAAAGCAACTTGAGACATCTCGAGAGATTCAATCTTTTCTTCATACAATGCATAGATTTGTTGTAGCTCATTCCTCTCTGTCTCACAAGTCAAGAGTTTTACACAAAGAGCTCGTCGATCATTAGCTATCTTGATAGCATCAATCCTAGCCTCGGAAATCTCCTCCTTTAGTTTGACATTCTCACTTTCACATGCTTTTGAGTTTCATAGTGAGTTTGTCATTCAATTTGGATAAGTTAAAAGATTCCTTATACAACTTTTCATAAGCTTGCTCAATCTCTTCATCATCACTTCCCGAGGATTCATCATAAGTGGCATTCTCAACCGGCCTCTTCAGATACTCTGTTCGTCCTTCAGTTTCAATAGTCGCCATGAAAGTAAGGAATTGTTTATGTCCCTCTTCACCTTGATCTTCATTGTCACTTTCATCTTTATCAAATTCTGATTCATCATCCCAAGTGATAGCGAGGGCTTTCTTCTTCCTCAAACGAGTAGGGCATTCTGAAGCAAAGTGGCCAAATCCTTGGCATTCATAGCATTGGAGTCTTTCAGAGTTTCCTTGTATCTTTCCTTTCTCCTTCTTGGCTATAGAATTAATTTTGAGTTTATCTTTACCT